CCAGAACAGCTACTTACATAATCCACCTCTACCTTCTATGCATGGGGTCGTGCATTGTCCATCAGGGTAAAGCAACATTGATTGATAAATGTGTTCATTTTAGAATTGGGGTCCTAGTATAATTGCTAAGGTCATACCACGACGACAAGTTTGAGGTTTGTTAACCATTTCTAATTAACGTGTTTTCGTGTGGTTTGTTATGAACACCAGCCGGTGAATATGGCCCGATCATTAATTAACCACATCAAGAATGGTTGATGGGTGGTAGTCAACTAGCCGCCGAATCAAAGAAGCACCGTTTGAAGTAGACTTATGTTCAAATATATCTTAAAGTTATGCCAAAGAAATAATTTTCTGTAGATAAAGGAAATTTTTTTGAGTTGCAACTTAGCTTTAGTTTCAGCCTTATTTGGATTTACTTAATCAAACCAAACAGTGCTACCTTTAAGGTGAACATACGTGACCTCAACGTTGCCATAGTACTAACATAAATGTTCAAAGTGAAGCAGAGAAGTAAATTTTATTTGGCCCTGGTGAAATTGTGAAACTAAGGTATGAAATTAGGAGGAGCTAGGACATTTCAAGAGTAGCATTGAAGAAGCCTGAAGGTCCCTTTTGGCTGTGCAATGCCCTAATTTCATGGAAATATGGTTTATTTTGTTATTAAAATCGGGTTCCAAAAAAGAGAATTTATTGATTTCCAATGGCGTCTCATATACAGTAAAACAAACGTTTTCGGTGAATACGAGCGGCGCACGCGGCAAATATAAATGTTCTCCTGACCAGTGGTGTCAAATAGGTTCCAATTAATTGCATGTTGGTTGTCTCCTTGACTTTATTTTACTAATTTTTGTGTTCTTTAAAGTGAGGTTTATCCAGGTTCACTGATACATGACGTTAAAAACTACTCTTTCAAGGCAGTCAAACAATCAGCGTAGCAACGCTTTCGTTGTCAACCATAACAAAAGCAACGATTTTAAGTGATGTTTGAGAGGAAGTTTTGAACAACCAGCAAGAAGATTTTTTGGCCCTGGAATTTAACCTACGTTTCCACACCACTCGAAGGGAAATACTGCACTAGAGAGGTCCACTTTGGAACCAAATCCGTCGTTTTATTGCACGAGGACTAGAACTAGAGGTTTGCACTTGCATTCACCATAACCTCATCTTTTGGCACAAGAGAAATTGGCAAGGAGGAGATTTGTTGTCAGTGCCGGCACGGTATGTTGACTAGAAGGTCTAATCGTGTAGGAGAAAGTACGTGCAGTATCTGCTTGTCACTTCCTCTTAATCCCTTGTTTTACTATACTCGTTTCGTTGAAACACTATTCAAATTACCCACTACTAGTAAGTGTCCCTATTTGTTTCATACACGTGCTGACTGATTTTTGGTGGAATTTTTTACTTTTTAGGACAATTTGTGTGAAACGCGTAACTTTTCACATTGCTTTGGCTTTCTTCTAACCTAGTATTTCCGCTGCTGTTCTCTGCAATAGAAAACGCTATTTTGAAATAACGTGAGCAGGCGTTATCCTTAGCTAGGAATTCTACTGGACCTAGCGTCACACAATTCGAAAATGTGTTCAATGAAGATCGAAATTAGGCTTCAAGCTCACCTACACTTTAATTTCGGCATTTTAGCTACACAAAATAGTCGTATTTACACACTGATGAATTTGGCCTCACATGACAACACGACAATGTGGTGTTTCAAATGCTGTCACGTGTTACATGGTTGTAAAAACACCGATCTAGCCCTGAACTTGATAAACGTGAACGCAAACAACGCAAATTAACCCTTTTCGCGTTGCTAATTTGACCTACAGTAACAAAATACGTGAGCATAGTTTAATACCTAAAGTTTTTACGCAAAATGCATTTCCCGTCAAGTTCTAGCGACCGTTTTACGCATGTGTCGTCAAGAAATTTGTTGTAAATACTCGTTCTGTCAAAGGGCGTAGAATTGTAGACAATGTAATGCTCTACCAGTTGACACTTTGTTTTGACAATTTGGAAGTTGACATTGGGTTACGTGATTATGAAAATAAGGGAAAATTTTACCGGCAAATGCATAAGCTACTGTGGCAGCTATTCGCATAAAAAATATTCTTTCACATTTCAAATTAGGTAAAAAATAGCATAAATGATTTAATGGGATCCAGTGTCCTGACATCATGGTGAACGACCAGATTATCACATAATCTTATCAAGCAGATTTAAAACTGTTGTGAAATGGGTTAAGCCGGAATTACACTGAACGGCCGAGTTCAGTTTTTTGATAGTGATTAGGGTGACGTGAAGCGCAATAAGCACGAAAGTATTCAAATAACCATATGACCCTAGTCACCCATGGGTAACATGGGTCAGAGTAGATTGGTGTAAAAAGAGGTGGAGGTGATAGGACTGGCATTATCGTATTTGATAATAATGTAGTTATGAGGCAAAGAGAAATAATGAATGTCCGACGATACTAATAATCCGATACTTTTTACCTGAACATCTAGCCCAGTGACAGATTGTTAGATATTTAACGCTAATTTATTTTTGAATTTCTTAGTATTATAAAAACGCAAACACTGTAGGAACACGGCCGCGAATTCAGAATAAAATCCATTATTGATCTTCACCCTAGTGTTAGGTCGCCACTTATTTAGGCTTTTTTATGCTACAAAGAAACCATAATGTTAATTATCCATCAGTAAATACTAGGACAAACAAGATTCAAACCTCAATTTTAATGGTGAGGATGGCAACTTCTTTGTACTTTGCTAATAATATGGTTGAACATCTAAGTACATCTTGTAGGTGTGCACACTTGTAGATAACAATTTTCTTTACCCAATAAAAAAATTATGGAGATAGTTTACTGATCAAAGACGTGATAGCAACTATCACAAACACTCAACAGCCTATGACCACGTATGCATAAGCTAAATTCATGCCCATAAGTAAATTTTACCTGTAGGAGCAATTTCGGACTTTACATTTTCCCAATGAGTTCAACAAACTTCCTGTTATGTGATTCTAGCACGTTGTAAAGTCTGTTAGATACTTCATCTATAGATTTCAGTCTTAACGGAACTTGATAACTCGCCGAGATGCACATAAGATTAAGCAGGAATCAAATTTGCAAACTAAAATTGGTTGCTTGTCAAGGAATAAAAAACGATAAAAAGTAATTTTTCCACTTTACTAAACACCAAAGAGGAATCAAATGGTGTCAAAGCCTTATTAAATTGCTCAAGAATAAAGGGGGCAACGGTTTTCAGATCAGCAAATGAGAACTGAAAATGGTTATTGAGAACAATCATAATTTTAAAATACATTAAAGCGCATTAAACATACAAAAGCAAACCAGAATTTGTCAAATCAAATTTCGTTATATTTGAATACAAAGGCAAATATTACTGTTTTTGGTATGAGGTCAAAGACAAAGAACTGAATGATGTTTATCATTACTAGAGACTTTAAAATATTTTGTAAAAAGCTAAATTAACAAAAAATCTGCTTTATGCGATTCAGGGTTGAAATGGAAAAATTGATTTGATTTACGGAACTGAATCAGTTCAGCCCGCTGATTACAAACGCTTGGTGTTTTTTGGCATTATGTCTGGGGAAACTGACAAAAGTAGGTGTACAGGTGTCAGGAAATGAAATGTCAGGCCATATGCAATTTTTTTAGTTGAAAAATGTTATGCTTTCCAAGGGTCCGTGTTAAAATTTATATACACTTAACATGTTGATGTTCTCTCTGTTACCAAACAATTTTTCGAGTCACAAGACTGCATATCTGTTAATTTCTCAAATGTATATCCTTAAAAGTTTATTCATTCACTTAAATGACACGGTCATTCTGAGCTACGTTTGCGTTTTACCTCTTGTAGACTCACGTCGCTGTTTTGTGGCGGTTAAAGTTGTTTTCTGAATTCTGTTATATATTGTTGTCAAAATAAACATGGACGACCTCTAGTTAGCTTTAGTCGTAGTGGATGTTGGGTTAATTTGGTGGCCTCGGGTCAAAAAACAGGCATACGGGCTCTTTTATATTAATTTTTCTGGGCTATGCTAAACGTTGCATATCCCTACTTTTATGAATTATTTATCCCTTATAGTTCATGTCTCAAATATGGCTTTGTTTTTGACCTTTGGTCATTTTGTGTTTGGAAATATTTTTTCATCCCGTTGTTCATGCAGATTCAGTTCAGTCCAATGAACACCCAAGGCCGCTTGCCACGCTGAATAAATTCATAAATTATCAAAGTCTCTCTAATGGTGGTACGTAACGTGATGCTACTGTCTCCATAACATCGTCTTTTTAATGTATTCTCATGTTTTTAAAGACAGGAATCATTAGTTCTGGGTAAAATTGGATTTTTATCAATATTAATCTAATTTTTACATTATTTGTGAATTGTATTGGTCGAATTTGCAAATCCTACCGTGTTGTGTAGCTTCATTGTGTCAGCGCATGCTAGGTTTTATGCTCCATTGATCGTATTTTATTTCAATGAAATGCGATTCATTTTCCGTTCATTTATCGCTAGCGACTAGTTTTGTTTTTGAAAAATTTGTGTTTCAAATCTAGGCCAATATCGGAAGAGGGGGCGCAGAAGACTCTTTAGGTGTCCCTACTGCCCTCAGACGTATGTGCGGAAACCGTGGCTAACCATGCACACCCTCAAAAAACACCGTGGTCAGTTCTCACACTTCACACTTCTCGAAATTTTTTTTTCGATATTCGCCGAAAAATGTATATTGGATGTTTTCTTTCTGTTCAGGACCTATTTGCTCCGTAACATTTTATGCGCATGGTTCCATAGAATCTTCACTTGATTACATTGTGATTACAGCAGTCTTTTCGGTTTTACTACATAAATTTATTCCATTTTAACTATTAGCACCCGTTTAGTCTACTTAACAACCCTTTATGAATACTTTACTGCACTTTATCCATGTTCACATTCGTCGATTTCCTATCCTTTTCCATTTTTGTCATAGATGAATTGCCACAGAATTCAATTTCGGTCTCCCAACCAGCTCAGAGTAAGTAGTAGGCCTGTTAATTTATGGGAACGCAGCACAATGGGCGATTTAATTATCCCCTCTTTTCTCTTTGCCCCTGTTTTAGGCCCTGTGTCTACAAAGCCTCCTCGAAGTGGACTAGCTGGCCTCGTCCAGCTATCAGGTCTCTTGTTTGTACTGACTATGTCAAAATACATCAGTAGCAATATTTTTGAAAGGTTTTATTTTTTCGCAAATTGCAGAACACCTCATCCGAAATAAAAAAGACGCCACCATGCGAAAGCTGTCGGAAGACGCCGCCAAAGGTACATTTTCGGTCTTTATTCTCATGATTGGATGACCTTTCATCACGTCGGGGTCACCAATCGATATGGGCCCCAGCATGTGGTCTTGAACCACGCCGGGGCCACTGAATTAACCCTAGCCCGATTACGTTTCCCCGATATCCACGATGAAGAAATCGATCGGAGAGGGCGCGGACACAACTGTCCACGTCAGAGCTCAACTAAAACTGGTGTCGTTGTGTCGTGTGTGGGATTTGCGCGTGCGTATTTATGCCTCCGATGCGTGAGTTATAGATGCGCTAACATCGAGACTTAAGTATGAGGATGATCCAAGATAAATATTCGTGCGAATGGGGGGTGAATTGAGGATCCGCGCGGCTGGCGACATGCTGCGAAAAGGAGGACCCTGTGTCGGAGGCTGGAGTGATCGGATCAGCGAGTGTGAACCAACGCAACTCACAACACCCGCGTGTTTCGTGTTAACCTTGCTTTGCCGGAAATTGTGCATTCCTCAGGATGCCTTGATTTGGCTCCTGTACAAGGGCCTGTTTTTCCCAACTTCCATCATCGTTTTTAGTCGATTTGGTTAAAAGACGCAAATATGCTTGAGTAGTGGCCTCCTGGTCCGAAATTACTCCCACCTCATTGGTTCGTGCATTTCAGGCAAGGTCCAGCCATTGGCGTGTAGTTGGTGCGAACAAACCTTCCCTGACGCAACCCACCTGAGAAATCACGCCACATCCGTGCACGGAAGTAAGTTTAGCATTCTTTGACACTTCGGTGTCACTTTAAGCCACTCGTCTTTCAGCTGTGTGCCCCAACGATCCACCTGTGATTAGTTGAACGTAAAAGAATTTGATTGGTTGTTGGGTGAAAAATTGATCAGACCTGCTCAACTACTCGATTTGGTAAAGCGCTTGTCCACAAAGTCGTGTCTTTCGAAGCCTTCAGCTATTGTCAATATTTTGTATGTATTTTTCCAGAATTCATCTCAAGAACGTCTAGTTCGAGTCGCGGTGGATGGAATGTCCGCCGTCTAAGGTCCAAATCCCCTTCCACCATTAAAGATTTCACATCTGAGGAGTATGAAAGCACCGCAAAAGGCAAGCCTTTATCCAGTGCATTCACAGCCCGAGTCTTTCACCACCAAATTGTCTCATCTTAGGCACTTTAATTAGTCCTGTGAGCGGAGCGCCACGCATGTGTCAGTAGAGGCGTTTAAAACGGCTTCATCACTTCAATCAGTAGGAATTCAGTTGCAAATGTGGTGGTGGGTGACAAGCTTTTAGCCCGTTCGTTGACCAATCGATGTTTACGAAACTTAGGAGAATAAGGTAGTTCGGAACACTGTAAAACACGCGCGTGTTGTCCATGAATTTAAAAGAGGCGCACGCTGATTGTGCAAATTCAAACAAGGCGCTCGGGGAGCGAACCAGTGCAGTAAAACAGCGGGGCAAATCAGAATAACAGCAAGATTTGTGTGTTTGGTCTGCAGTTTTTAAGCGGTTGAATTGCTTTTCCCCACGCTAGAAGTCCTTTCCGGTCGGAGTATTGTGTTCGTAGACCTCTCCAACGACCTCTCCCTCATTGATGACTTTTACCGCGAGCAAGGAGTCAAGCAAGAAGAGAAGACGCCAGCAAGGATTCCCGGTGCGAATAAGGGGCCAGAGGCGGTAGTTGAGGTTAGCGAGGTAGTCGAGGGGGATGCGGGCGAGGTCCTCAAACCGGAGAGTCCACAACAACCCCCTCCAAAGCGGCGCAGAGGCAGGCCCAGGAAGGTCCCTCTGGAGGCCTCGGCAACACCGGCTGCGCAGCCCGCCAGTGAGACGAAAACGCCCGTGCGAAGGCGGCGACGACGATCTCGGGCGATCCCGTGCCCCTCCTTGATTTTGTCGGAGAAGAGACCACGCAAAATCCCACGTGGATGGGAGGACTTTGAGACCCCTTGTAAGTCTGACGCTCCCTGTAGATCTCCACCTTTGTATTATACTGTCGAATACCCAAACCGTGTCGCACACACAATCCTCGCCACCTGAATATGTCTATTGCATTTATTTTAGTTAACATTTCAATGAAACCGGAAAGCTCGAAGGTTGCAGGTGCGTTTCCTCCCGTGTTGTCGTTTGCAAAGTCTGTTGTCCGCTTTTTTTATTGTAATTTTTCTGTATGTGCAGAAAACGAGGAATCATCCTACCTCCGTGAAAACGCCGGTACGTTCTGCTAGGTTCCCCAACCAGTTGCCATGGCACCGGGTTAATTGCCAAGCTAGGCATTGTGTTTGAAATAACCGTCTATCCAAGCTAACCAAAGATCACGCGAGAGCCCTACATTGGAATCGAATTCTCCCCACCGATTGGCTGTTAGTGGAGACCAATCAAGCATGGCAGGAGTCCCTGTGACGTGATTGGTTAATCCGAAATCCATCATTTAGTCAATCGAGTGTTTATTTGGTGACCTGTGAGCCCCATTACCAACAGTCGAAAACAATGACATAGCAAAAACAAGTAGATATTTTGCCCAAATCAGTCCCTGTGCCTGCGTTTGCCCATCTACTAACAATAGATTGGATTCGTTGGACAGTGAACCACCAGAGTGTGTACCATTAGGCGGTGATAAAGTATTGATCTAGAGAAATCACTCATTCTACTTCTAGCATCTCCTCATTCAGGTAATCAAGTTTAGGTAGCTATCAGTTCCAGTCAAGCTGAACAGTCATTGTAACGATTTGGCCACCTCGTGCTCTTAATACTCAACTATCTACTGATGGGTAAGAGTAGCATATAGCTTGTTGTGTCTCCACCACAAGGAGTGGGCGTTGTGGGATTTTTAACTGGCGGAATGTGTGGGATTTATTTCACTGTCTGTTTGTAGCTTTGCGTGTGGCAGTGTGCTGGTTTGGGTGGCTGCAATTGGCTTGTTTAAAAACTACTGTTTTGTGCTTTACTTTCAGGCCTCGACGTTACTTATGACGAAGGTATGCGTTTGTTATTCATGCCCACACACACACACACACACACACACACACACACACAAAACTAGTTTTTAATGGAGAATACTTTTGTTGTAGACTCTTCTTTTGAGAATGCGGAGAAAGGTATGTCTGTACCCGCTGTTTTTGCAGTCTGTGTGATCCATGACGGTGGTGATAATGGTTGGTCGTCATTTGCTTACGAGAGTGACCTCATTTGGTCGTCATTCGCTAGTTCTTGAGACGTTTGCGTGTCGACAGCATGCTGGGGTCAGGGCTTGCTGAAGCCTTTAGAATTTGGAGACGTCCAGTTCATCCATCCAACCACCGTGGAAGGCTTGGAAGACCAGATACAACTGAAAACCACCGTCCACAAGACGGCTCAACTGTTGTGTTTTCATAAAACAGACGCAGATTATTAGGTTGGCGTTTGTGTGTCCACAACGTACAGAGATCTGGCCTGGCAGACGTCCAGTTCCGTCATCCCCAGACACCGTGGAAGGTTTGGAAGACAGTCCGCAATTTGGCTCAATTGTTTTGCGCTCATCAGACAGATTCAGATTATTAGTATGGCGTTTGAATGTTGAGTTCAAGCCTGGTGAAAATCGCTATAATGTGGAGACGCCCAATTCTTCCATCCTGACACTGTAGGAGGTGTGGAAGACCGTCAACAAGACGGCTCAATCGTTGTGTGCTCATGGGACAGACGCAGACACTGATTATTAGGAGGGGTGTCCGGACATGCATTGACAGTGGTTGCTCGTGGAAATGACGTCAAGGCTGGTGCTTTGAGAAGGCACAATGTTGGACTCGATTGGTCACGCGTTGCAGAACGAGCCGGCGAGCGTTGCGCTCAGACATGCGTGGGTGGTAGACTCGAGTTAACATGACTCGCTACAGGTGGTAAATTCACGCGCTCGAAAAGCGTTTTTCTTGTTTCAGCTGACAACAAATCTGGGCCAATTTTTTCTCCCAAGGGTACGTTGAATCCCTATTTTGATGCCCTCAGGTGAAAACGATGTTAAGGATTTGAAATCGCATGCCTTTTCAACTCTTTCAGATGGCTCGGTGTCCTGTTTCATCTGCGGCCTCACCTACCGTCCAGGTTCAATCGAAGCGCATGTTCGCTACGCCCACAAACGTGAGTGCTCCACGCAGGTTGCCGCCTTAATAAAACCCCTTCTTTTTGGGTTGTGGATGGTGTGCTGAATGCGACAAGAGTGGCGTTTTGTTGGGGGATAGGCAGACTGGAAGCTCATGGCACTTCTTTTTTTCCCATTTCAAATAGGTTTTCCCAAGGACCAGTGCTTTATCTGCGGCAAGCTCTTTTCAACCGTCGAGAATGCCCGTGTGCACGTCCGAGCAGTGCATTTTGGTAAGATGATGAATTGAGGGGTGTTAGGTGAAAGTACTGTCACACACGCACGCACGCACACATGCACACACATGTTCATACACATAAACAAGCACACACGCACATAAACACGTATACAAGTAATCTTACGCACTCGCCCACATGCACACATATACTGGCACACATATACACACTTACCTGCGTATTTGTACAGACACACGCTCACACACATGTACACACGCGCATATACATATAAACGTACTCAAGCACATTTGCAAACACATGCTCACACCCACACATGCACTGGTTCCCCGCGAACGTTGACCAGCGTTTGTCAGACCGCAGTCCTTTTGTGAAGTGCTTTTCCGGGCATTTACAATTGCAGGTGTCCCTAATGTACGACTCGTCGTTTTACCACTACCCCAAAATCGTAAAACACCTGCCAAACTTTCATAAATGTGTGTGTTTTTGATTTGAGTGGGGTTGGGGTGAGGTGCTTTGTTGTTCGTAGCCCCCTTGGCCACACCACCTGTTGACGTCCTTGTAGGTGACAGTGGGTCCCTGCATGAGGAGAGTTCCATCGACAACGACGCCGCCGACGCAACCCGCGAGATAACCGCCTCTCAGCCGCCTCAAGGTGGGTTTCTTTTGACGTTGGCGGGCAAATGAGTCCTTCGTTTTGATTGGAAAGTGTGTGTGTGTGTGTTTGTTTACCTCGTTGCAATTCCCCCTTTCAGAGCTGCGAGATGGTGAATGCCGATGCGTCGTGTGCCAGTGCATTTGTCAGATCCCCGATCTCAAGAAACACGTGGCCGAGAGCCATCGGAGTGAGTTCTACTTCCACTCGCTTTAAATCACTATGTTCTGCATAGCTGCCCCACCACCCGGTGTAGATGATTTCAAATCTTGCACACACACACAGGGAGTCCACGTTGCTTTCGTTAATCCAACTCGCGTCATTCTTCCTCGTCTTAAGGTTTCCCCAAAACCAGGTGCTACTTCTGTGGACGACGCTATTCAACGCCCCACGCCGCCTCCGAGCACATGGAAACCATTCACCTTAGTAAGCGTCCTGCCCCGGAATCGCATTTCACCTGCCTGCCTTTCTCCACAATCATGCATCTTCGCCCTTTTCTACCTCCTTGCATTTTAGAAAAATCACTCTTCACGTGTCCCGAGTGCGAAAAGAACTTTGGCGGGCTGCAGGAGTGGCGAGAACACCTGGAAAATATCCACCAACGTAAGCTTACGTTCATCCTACGTCTCGTTTGCACAATTAGCCGTAGTTAATTAGTGGTAGGGCTCTAATTTTATGCATTGTAACTCCTTTGAATAATCTTCGATACCTTGAGGTGGCATGGCTGCTTTTAAATGAAGTTTTCTGTAATCAGAACGGGACAAGATAAGGAGATGATTTGTGTGATTAACACAGAGTAGTGAGTTGTTAGTGTAACCCTAGAGTCGTAATTCCGTGGACAGAGCTGAGTGAATCGCGGTCACAAATATCGGTGTCAACTTCGCTGCCTTGGAGAATATTGACATCCGAAGCAGCCAAACGCTGTAGGCCGTTTCTTGTGAACGACAGTCTGAATGAAAGAGGTGTAAAATGCATCTAGTGTGGTTGTTGAATTGCAAAAAGTTGACATTGGTTAGTTAGTGCGACCAAGTTTGCGACCCGTTTTCAAAAGGTGTCCAACTTCGGCCATGAGGGAGGTGGCGTTTCTCCTGCTTCACGAGAACACCCAAGTGTGCGTTGGACGAGGAACACTGAAGGCCCGAAATGTGTTTCCTGCGCAACACTGTCTCGCTAACTTCCTTCCAGGTGCTACTGATGGCAAATCCGTGTTTAGATGAAGTGGTCTGTGTGAGGCATAGAATCTGTCACAGTGGAGTGCTCTATTGAATCCTTGCCAAAGCGTTTTTGGCAGGTTCGATGGAGCAGTGCGTGTTGTCTGGCCAGTGGGATTTGTCGATCACTACGGTGTACGCACATGCGGTTGAATGAAACGAGTAGCAAGCGGTGTGCGCGCAGACGGTTCCGTGAAAAGGGTGGGGGCGGTGAGTCGGATTATGCGACGACCGGGTTAATGGACGTGAATCGTCACGACTCACCCCAAAGGCCCTTCTCTGGCGTCACAACATCGCCCAAGTACTCGTTGGACGGCGAACACTGATGGACCTTTTCTGGTTTCCCAAGGGTTTCATTGGGAAAATACGCCGTAGTTTCAGTTAAGGGCATTTGAATGCCGCTCCCCGTGGTTTGTCTTCTTGAAAGACGTCCATAATTAGCCCAGTTTGAGGCTTGTGCCGACCTGGCCACTGATTTCATGCCCCATCGCTTGTCCGGTTGGTCATAAATCACGGGTTTTATGAATCTTACGTGGTTAGCTTTTGTCCAATGTTTCAAAATATAAATTACCCCCACAAAAACGAAACTGACTAAGCACGGTTTTGGTCTGTTCGGTGGCCTTCAATTAACCTACAACCACTCTTTCCTAAAAACGACTTTATTTTTAATGTTGTCTGTAAGCAAGTAGTCCCTCATTGGGTGAAATTGAAAAAAAAACGAGTTGTACAGTTAATCAATAATCGCTCGACTGGTAGTGGCCCAAACCACCACCCAGCCAAGGTGTCATTTGCTGATGCCTTTGAAATGAACCTGCAGACAAATTCGACACTTCTTCGTCGCCGTATTGCTGCCTTGGTGTTTTGCTGCTTCTCATGATTTTTTCGTTACCATGGCAATGACTCGACTGAAATTATGCCCCCATTTATACCCTCGTTTGAATTGATTGAGTGTTAGGGCAAACTTTTGACTTGTGTTGATGTCAAGCGACAGAACTCCGGTGGGCATAAGGCTAGGAAACTGCCGTTTGTGTTGAAAGTGAACTTGCCTAATGATTAGTTTGTGTGATCTTGTTCTATCCGTCAAAAACTGAAGCGGAATTTTGACTACCCTAAGTATATGATTCAGAAGTAGCTTCAAACCTCAATCAAGGGATAGCGCGGACGGTCGAATGCGGCGTTTACCAGAAAAGTGCTGCGGCGCGTGGGATCTTTAGGTGGATTAAGGCGTATGTCTGTCTGTCTGTTTTTCCGCCTATTCTTTCCCCCTGTGTGGGCTGGGACGTTTATTCTTCTTTCTTCAACATTTGTGTGGCTTTTGGTAAAGCAAGGTCTCGTGTCGGTAACAGCGTCCCGTTCTTTATAGACCACACACATGTCTCAAACGGCCCCGGTTGTAATTTAAACTCGCCGCTTGAACGCAAAAAGCAAGTGCTGTCGAAAATGCGGACGTTTGTCAACACGGAATTTCGTTATCAGGGCTAAAATTGAGGAGAAGCTGACGGTTTTTCAGGAATACGCTTTGCAAACACGCACACACACACACACGGCAGAAATGGCACTTTAAAATTTCAAACAAACGAAACACCTGCCTCAACCCACGAGCCATGCCTTTATGCTGTAGGATCCGTGATTTGTCCTGCAAGTTAAAAGTCGCTTTCTACTCGATTTTCCAACCACATTTTCATTTTTGAAGTTCCAAAACCCTACCTAAACTTGAAGTGGACTGTTATTGGTGTAATTAGTTCATAAGCGACAGAAAAATTTATGCCAATTGCACGCATAATCTTGAAATTCGTCTTTCCACTTTACAATTTCCCATAACCAGAACATTTCAAGCCACACCAGTTCCTGTGTCGGCGTAAAGAACCCAAGTCGAGGTGTCTTACAGTCCCTCGTCTCGTGCTTTTCGCTTAGTACTTCAATGTCGTGTTAAGCGTTCAAGCTCCCACCTAATGCAGCTCCAAAATGTCCATATTCTCTAGTGCCACCAACAAGGCATGATCTCTTCTCGAAATAGCGCAGTAGGGCGATTGGTTCAACGAATGAAGACTCCATGTTGAGCTGTTAGTGGCGGTGTCATTCCCGAGTCGAGTGTGGGACTCTACAGAACCCAAGGGAGTTTGTAGGATTACACCAACGCACGCGCGCGCACACACCCAAAGACTCACATTATATCTGCTTCCGGTGTTCCACGTGTTGGAGAGTGTTGAAGTCAAGCGGTCGCCGAACTTGCAAGAACTTGCAGCGCGCGTTTGGGTGTGTTCGCTCACACGCATGGGATCGGACAACCAATCAGGCAACGGACAGGATTGAAGCGAACATTGGGTGTGGGAACACCGCTACTACGAATGCGTGCGCACACACACACGCACACATACCCAAATGCGTGGGTAATTTAAGCCGAAAGCACGTTGGTTTGGTTTCATTGTGTAGGAAAAAACGGGGCTTTTGGGTGTATCATCATCATGGTGATATGGTGTGGCGAAAATCGATGGGTCCTAGTATTCGCAGGCCACTTGGGTCGCTGTTTTCTGTTTTTCCCCGTCAAAAAACGAATCCCCTAGATGTCCAAAGCCGACTGACACTCTTTTACGAAGCATTGTCTTCGTTTTCTGCAAAATTTCGAAGGCAAATAGTCATTTTAATCCACCGAGAACTCCAGACATCGTATCGGCAAATCGCCACACTAAAAGCACGCAAATTAGACACTAGTTGGTAAATACCACGACAAAAAATGCTTGTTTTGTTCAAGTGGAGTGTTTGCTGTTTGTAAATTGCTTTATCCTGATCCAGGTGACACCTTGTACAAGTGTGAGCACTGCGGAAAAGCCTTCGGATGGAAGAAATTCCTTCGTCAACACGTTCGCGAAGAACACGTTGGTACGCTCACTTCGTTCTTGGCCTCAGATAGCCTGATTTTGTCAAGTTAATCTTAAGACAAAGTAGTGTAGTAGTTTCCAAGCAGAATTAGCCGTTTCTGTCAAAGTGCTCCACAGCACATCACTGCTGCTGTTCCAGTGCTAACTGCATTAAAATGGCATTTTATGCGCGTGCGATCGATCTCTCTCGACTTAGGTGTGGTGAATTAACAAGCACAATTCGTCCTTTCAGGCGACGGCTCCGGATCCGTCTTCGGGATGCGCAATAGCTTCCGGGCGGAGAGGACGACACTGCAAGAGGAATGTGACAGGCAGCAGCGTCTAAGCAGTGCGTTCAGCAACAGTGTCTTTAAATTTCGACAACTTTTTTTGGTTTCTTAACCGTTTTCATGCAAATGATGTGTGTGCTGCACTTTTAGACGGCGCTGCTGCTCCGGACGCTGAAACCGCCGAATCTGAGGCCGGCAGAGCAGACGAAGTCGCCAAAGAAGCGCCGGAAGAGGGCGAAGCGACCAATTTCGAAATCACCAATTGTAAGGCTCCCAACCTTGTCTGCGCGGCGAGAATTTCGTTTATAATCTACAGAGCTATCAGGAATCAACTCATCCGTATTTGTATAGAATTTTTGACCTTAATTAGTATTTTAAATGAACGAATGTACGGCGAAACGGATCCACTCCAACTTTACCGACTTGTGAAGCTTGCAATGAATAAATTACGGCAAATCACCCTCAAAAAACCCATTTCCAGACCAAGATCCCTGTTCGTGTAGATCCCAAGAGCAGGTATAAGATCTCCAAGTTCCTGTGACTTGTGGGCGGTTTCGGACCAGGTTATATCAAGTATCATTTGGCCGGTAGTGTGATTTCATGTGGTTGAGGCATTCATTCAAAAAAGGTCAATTAGATTTCTGAGATGCATTTTCTTTGGATGTTCTGAGTACGGGAGCACGAGGCAGTGAAGGGCCTTTTTTGAGCACACCAGCCTGGTCGGCTTGTGGAGCGTCACGCGATCTGGTGAAGTGTCGTAAAGAGGCCTTAATGCATCGGACTCCACGTGCCAAATCCTATCCACGCCCCCTGACTCACGACACTTTAGCAGTTGCCTTTATGCTCTACGAAAGTTGGAGTCACACGTTTTGCCATGGATTATTCATTGAGCAGATCAGTTACAAATCAATGCCAAGGTGCCAATGACAATCAACCAAACACGCTGAATGGTGAAGTCAGCGATGTGTGTTATCCTTATCGGATTTTCCCAATCGAATCGAATCAAAGATCCGCGCTAGTTGCGGTCGCCTTGTAGGCTTCAGTGGATTGACTTTACCCGGAACCTCATTATTGTTTTGCTTAGCTTCCGATACGAGCAAAAACGCAGTGATGGAATACGAGTACGAGTTATCTGGGAGTTATGGAAGTCCAACCGTCGACTCTTCTGAAGGTAGGTTGGGTGTTGGTTAGTTTTTTTTTTGGCTACCTCAACGCGGTGGGTAATGATGTTGACCTGCTAACGACTTCTACGTAGTAGGCACTCAAGAAATCGCCGTCTCGCTGAATGTATTTTCGTAACACCTAGCAGATCCGCTCAGGCCCTATCACTTTGTATGAAATCATTGCTAGGAGTTTGCATGGGGGATTTCAGGTCCTGTAGTCGTAACCTCGGTATTTTTTTGCCCTGTTTAACCTCAAACAGGGTTACTATGACTTTGTTTTTTTTCCTAAAATTTAGCTACAGGTGATGAATCCAGGGGACAAAAGAAAGCCATAAGTATTGATTTTTTTGCGGGTGCGTCTTCTTGTTTTTCTTTTGTGTGTGTGTGTGTGTGTAACGCTCGTGCTGGTGACTCCAGTTGACTCGTCTTGTTGCCGATTTTCAGCCAGCAGTGTGGATATCTGTCCTATCTGCAAGAAGATCCTTCACACGAAAAAGTCCCTGAAAACCCACATTGAAGCCATCCATCAGAGTAAGCACCAGTTTTGACGCAGTCGATTTCAACCTCTTTTACTGGCTTTAAGCCCCGTGTTATGTGTTCCACTAAATTTAGCCAATAGTAGCGTGCTTCATAAATTCTTAGCCAATCGTAACGTAGTGTTAAACAAATGACCTTCGTAACGCCTTGTACACGGCGATCCCTTGGTGTTTTGCTAGGATCGTTGCCGCCCACCCTGCCGTGATCATCCAGTTCGGTATGGCTATTTACTGCGAATTCAGTCAAGCTATGCTATCCACGTGTTTAACAATCTCCACGCACGTTAGTCTGAAACAGCATCAGTCATGTTTTTGAATTACCCTCCCTCCCTTCCTCCCCCCAGAGATGAAGCGGTACGCCTGTGACCTCTGCGACCGCTCCTTCTACGCCCGATGCGACCTCCGAAAGCACATTGACTGTGTCCACAACCGTAAGTCGTGACTCCACCCCTCCCCCTCTTAGGTGTTGCTCCGCCTCGCTGGCATGCCCTGTTTTAGCAGATGTTGGCTTCGTCGGGCCCACTCATCTACCTGTCTTCTTTTTCTTCTCATTTGCAGGCTTAAAGTCATATTCTTGCAATGAGTGTGGGAGGCGCTTCTTTTTGCATTCTCAGCTTGCTGCGCATCTGATCAACCACCACAAGGGTGTGTGCCTTGTCCTTTACGCCGTATTTTTACTTAGCTAACACACACTAGAACCCGTCAATGACGCATACGTGTTATCCCAAACAATAACTGCTAAACAGCCTGTAACACGCCTACCGAGCGGGGAACTAAATAGGGAAATTACTGTTAGCTCGGCCCTCTTAGATAGCCACACCATCATGGTTAGCTACCAGGCACACGATAGCAGAATAGCTGGAAGAACCGGATGTATTCCATACTACCGTATACAAATCCAGAGGACTAGAGCTTAGGGAGAGTTAGGGCGGGGAAAGGGATGGCCGTGAGGAGGGTCGGCGTTGCCATCAGACTCATGGGCGTGCCTTGAGGAAGGCGAGAGTGCGGGAGGGGAGAGGAGGACAAAGAGCAGGCCAGACCGGCGTGCGTGGGTCGAATGGCGCGCGTCTCAAGCCAGTAACTTGTATGTCGCGCTCAGCGCGAATCAGAATTAAAACATCAGACAAATCAATACCTGTGTGGCTCTTTGCAGATCACTTTTTGCGCTTACATGGGATCAAGTCAGTTGGGTTTTCGTTTAAGGTGACTTTGTACAGATGTAACACGTGTGTCCACTCCTCGACCAATCAGCTTGCGCATTGGTTTGCAGTGTGTGTTAACATCTTGCTTTTAGCTGTCTTGCCGTTCAAGTGTAACGAGTGTGGCCGACGCTACGCCATCAGGCAGGTGCTTAACGATCACATTTGGCGTTTCCACACAGGTCAGTTCAGGTTTTGTTTGGTTAACTTTGGGTATACGATTAAATTGTTCTCAGTAGGCTGTTTAGTGTTGCTGGTGTTGTTTCTATTGTGACCTCCCGCCTAGTTAGCAACCAAGACAGCGACTATTGCGGTAGCGGTGTCTAATCAGACAATCTACCGTTTCGTCTGGCATTAAATCAAACAGAAGCTTTGTCAATTGCTCGAGTATTTACCCTACAGGACATGCGTTCTAACAATGTTGAACGCCTCTACGTTCTATCACTCTCAACTGCTTTTTTTGTAGATAAGCCCAAACGAATTCGGATCAATGGAAGGCTCGTGACGCCCAATCCAGGTGAGTTCAAAACCGCGTCGGAGCAACTGAGTTTAATCCAGTCCGAATACGATACTCAGACAAGTAGAGGTTCAGAGACGAGTCAGCTCACCAGATATCTCCAACAAGTTGTGTTAGTCGCGCAACAGCGCACAAGAACGCGTCAGACTGAATAGGATTGTCGATCCACACAATCTGGACGGTCAGATGAATGAAACGGACACTGTGAGTGAATGAGCAGAAGTGGAGATGAGGTCAGAATGGCGAAGACTGCGACAACTGGGTTAGTGGACGTGAATTAATTCCGTCCATACTACATCCCTCTCTTTTTTGGGCCTACGCATTGCCAAGTTTAGTTGTGTTTTGGTCGCAAGTTGTCAATTTTGACCCACACTAAAGTGACATGTGCGTGTGTTGGTTCCACGTCCGACAAAAAAGCTAATAAGAGTGGTTGTACAACGTGTGCTGCATCCACTGATTGCGTTCGAGACGCAACAACTAACGCGCATTTTGTGGGTGCCGCCAGCCACAATGTCGCAGTTGCAACAGGCCTCTCCGCCGGTGCCAACCCAGTTACCGAGCCAAGCCCTCGTCACCAGCCAGCTGCCGCCCACCGCCACCACCACCACCACCCAATCCGTCGAGCCGACTGAACTGGCCATTCTGGGTGGCGGCGCGACGGGCCTGCAGGAGGTCTACCTCATCGGCAATCAGCTCTACTTCGCTGAGAACGTATCGCTGCCAGCGACGTCGCTGGAAACCGAGGCAACCCAGGTCTACGAGGCCGTCCAGTTGGAGGGTGCCAATCGACAGGCCGCTGTTACTTTTCAGCCCACACAGACCGATGCTGTTCCTATGCGTACGTGCTGCCACTCTCTTTCCATTAGGTGTATGACTTTATTTATTCAAATTTCCAGGCCGCTGTCCGGGGCGCGGCTGGTCATTAAGGTCGAAATCACCACTTTTAGTGAAACTTTCGGACTAGTAATTGTGAACACACCGTTGGAACCAAGAATACTACAAGTTGATTGCCCCCGTGCTTTGCGTTCCACATTGTTCCTTGTTGATGGAATTCGTGTGAAATGCTGTGCCATCGAATGTGGTGTTCAGCAGTTGTCATCGTAAACTCTGCCGTTGTGAGAGGTTGTGTAACTCGTGTAGACTTGTCATTCGGTGTTCTTAAACCTCGTGTCCGATCCTTTCAAAAAAACATAAGACAGTGAAATACTTCCGTTTTAAATGTAATGTTAAAAATTTGTAAAAAATTAAGTCATACACCTAATACAACTCGGGCCTTGGATGCAGTATGGTATTCTGTCTAACTCTCGAGCTAAACTAACAAAAGAAACGGAAAAGTGGGGTGTTTTTCCGAGTCACCAGATCACATGGCTTGCCATTCTGTGTTTTAGACACCGGATACGTAACGGGTGAGCACGTTTTCACTGTTGTTGGACATTGTGTGCGTTTCTTGTTCTTTCTTGTGTGTGTGTGTAACCTTACTCAAAATCCACGACAAAGGTCCATTTTCCAAGTTGGAGCGGGTGCTACAGCGCATGTTTCGGTGGAACTGCCCCCGTTTAAGACCTTTAAAGCACCTTCTAGCATCTCTGGCTGTTAGATTTGATTTGTTGCCGCCTTAGTTGTTCTCATCTCGTTGTTTTTGTTTGCTAGACAACGGTGAAAACCAAATAATCGAACTCGATATGGCAAGTGGAGGTGCGTGTCGTGATTCGTAAACAGCCTGAAAAACCAACCCCCCCTCCTCTACGCTAATTCCGTGTTCTCTTTTCACTCAGGTGAGACGATAATTCGAGCAGAGGACTTGGACAGTGAACAAAGGCTCGCCCTTGGATTCGGTACGTTAATCCTGCTGTCTTAAACAGCCCCCATACATGCGGTGTGATTTGTCGTGGGCGTGGGTGGATTTGCGGGAAAATTGAGTGGTAACCCGTTCATCTGTGATGTTTCTTGGACACACCCAAGTCGTCCACCAGGTTAGATATCTTCCACCACAATGTCACGCGCTTACCAACGTGTGTGTGTGTGTGCCTTTCCTAGATAAGAGCCACGCGATGTTGACGACCACGCCAATGGACAGTCTGGACGCGAACGGTGTGGTCATCCAGCAGCTTCCACTCGCCCTGATGGACGGCGAGGCGTCCTGCAAGGTGACAGGCTCCGGCGACGCTAATCAGCAAGAGGTCGCCTACCTCACGTACCAGCAGTCCTTCTAGTCCCCTCCGGTTTCCTTCTGTGTACATACACCACCCAGTCCAACTTAGTCCTCTTCAACTCCCCGTCATAAGATCAGCCAACAAGTCAATTGTGCAGCATCTCTTCTTCTGTATTTTTCTTACACCTCAGCTGTTCTCCACTCTTGCACCCATTTTATCGTAGCCCTACGTACCTACTTGTCCCGCGTCTGTCAATATTATCTCTCTCTGTGTGTGTGAACTACACGAAGACACTTTTAGCCTGTTTAATCTGTCTCTCCTGGAAAAGGCGGGTTGTGAAGGTGAGCAGAATGTGATGATGCGCCTCCAGTACTCATACCGAATCCACCCAAGAGGACCGTGGAACAGACCGGGCTGATTCCACACCAACTAGGTCAACCAATCAAAAAGCAGGAAAAAGGGCATTTGTTTGACTCGGACTGGGAGTCAACATGAACAAAGACATTTAACTCTTCATAAGGGTGCTACGGCTAGATGTGTATGTTCTGCGGGCTGGATGTGTCAGAGGGCAAATTATGTACAATTACAACTCAGGTTTGGCTGCCGTGGAGTGCAACAGTGCGTGTGTTGGGGCGAAACGGCACCCACTATGATTGTTGTAGCGAGTGGTCGCGAAGGTAGTAAAGGCTGAGGCTGCTGAGTCCACTCCAAAGCGTCCGGCTGATCTCTTCGATCGTCAAACTCGGCTGGAGGTGGACATACTCGTCCGCTGTCTCGTTGTAATAGAAGAGACTGAAGTTGGGGTCGTTGTCTACGGTTAAAAAACCAACAGAGAGGGCCATGAAAAGCTAGTACACTTCGTTGACCGTGGATAGAGTAAACAATTCAAGTGGGTGGCTTGGATCTAAGCGATTCAGTAAACAAGGAGTTGAAGTGGTGCACCTGTCAGCGCTGGCGAGTGGTCACGAAGACGACTCTCGAAATGGCCTGGTACTTGCAGCATTCGTGTTACCAAGTTGACGGCTGAATCTAAACCAAGGACCGGTTTGGCATGCACAAGGGTACACTGAACCGCACAAAAATAGCACAATGTGGATGTGGAAGGGATTCAGATTCCTAAACTAGCACATACCTGACCCCTTCGTAGGAGTAGGGAACCATTATTACGATGGAGAGTGCGTGCTTACCCGTGATATCCTTGTTGAATCTTTGCACGTTGAATCGAATCGATAAAAACTTTCCGAGGTGGTCAACTGAAAGCAGACAAAACAAGAAAAGTTGGAAAACAAATAGGCCACAAAACGCAGAGGAAATCGTATTGCGATTTGAATAATCCTAAGTTCGTGGTTGAAACCACATGGCAACATCGTCATTCGCTTCTGCATCCAACATCCATCCAAAAGTAACCTAACTCCTCACCCTGCGTTACAGTTTTGTGTCTGTCGAACCAAGAACCACAGGGCGAAACTCACCGGTCGCATTTGACGGCACCTTGACGTACTTGACGGCAGGAGTTAGCAGGGAGTCGTCAGAGCCGAGCTCGGAGCTGGCGCCGCGTGGGCTCGAGGCCGCGGTGCGGTTGCCTCCTCCGTCCTCTGACTTGCGAAAATCGACACCGCTGCCGTCGAGAGAAGCCGACGACGAGACCGCCGCAGATGGGCGCTGAGGCCTGCGGTGTTCTGGCGGCAGTGGACGCAGCATCAACTCCACCTCGGGAACAGTGGTGCTGCCGCTGGAGGAGCGCACGCGTCGACTTTGCTGAGGATGGTGACCTAGATCGAAGGAAATTGCTCCACCCAACGAATTGGTCTCCATGGTTCCGCTCTCGGCGTCTGAATTGACGCGCGACAGGCGCTGGTTCAAACTCCCGGCCTACGAGGACGGATGATGAGGGTTTATTAATGAAAAAAGGCTTGGCGACAAACACACACATGCTTTTAGGGAATTAAATGGATAATCTGAATAGAGCGACTTTCCGTTGAGTTCACAGAAGACGAGGCAAAAGATTACGTATCTACAGTATAAATTAGTTGTCGAGAATAAACACTGCTTTCGAGTGATTGACGCCCATCCCACAAATGTTAAAAGCACCAGAGCGGCGTTTCCAAGTAAAGTAAAACAAAGTTGAACGGGACTATAAGGATGCTGCTGAAGGCTTTACAATAACTATTGCAAACAACGGAGACGGCTTTAAGCACCTAATTAAGATAAGGCATCAAAATTACGTTCAGATAATAAATATTAAGGGAAATTCGCAAATAATGATGACAACACGCACATGTTGGTTATATTTCCCCCAGACAAGGTTAGGTGCACGCCATGATACTATGTTGCCCAAAAAAGCTAGTAGTTCCATCGAATCGGAAGTGCGATGCAGATAAGGCGACTCACAATCGAGGCAGCATCGTCTTCGCTAGCAACGGAGTCTGTTGCAGCTCCAGCACCGTTGTTGCCGATCCGCAAAGCTTCTAACTGTCGTCGATTTCTGTAGTGTGCAACATCGGCATCGAAAACGCCGTGGTGGGGATGTCCGTTCTCGTGCACAGAGGCCCTGCCGTTGGCTTGCTGTTTGTTCAGTTTGGCCAGCACCCTATTCTGATGCGCCTCGTATTCCTACATCAGCAAAGAAGGGAAAAGAGGTTTCTTGTGGCCGAAGGAGTCGTTTAGCATGAGGCAAAATAAAAACTTCTCACTTCTCGGCCAGGGTAAATTTTGGCAATAAGTGCGTCGAAATTCGGGTCTCGCCTCAATGATCGCTTTGAAACCAGTTTCTTGCGACACGTGGGACACTCTTTATTGCCGTTTCTCAAGGCAGTGACAATGCAATCAGAGCAAAAACGATGTAGGCATTCTTTTGTTGTCATGGTAACTTTAAGAATGTCAAGACAAATTGGACACATCAGCTCTGACTGAAGGCTACGAGGACTGACGGCAATTTTGGTGCCATCAGTTATTGGCTCTTGTGGTTTGCGTTGCATTTCATACAGCGTAAGTTCCCAAGCTTTCATTGGGGCGTTCTCCATGGCCATTCCGGTTTGCAGTTAGTGCTGCCTAGTTGAAAAAAAAACATGTCTATTAAGTACTAGGCACGATCTATGGGCTGGAACTACACTAGGAGTTTGTGCCACAAAGGACATCGTTTGTGCTGTCACAGTTAAGAGTTGAGTGGCTTACAAAGGTAGATCGTAAAAAACGGAAGTCCAGTGCTTAATAGATTCATGACGATAAAATCAATGTTAAATTACGACTGTTTTAATAAATCGCTTCAAGCATACAACTATGACTTTTTAAAACTAATATTTGCAAACAGTAAAGGTCCTTTAGAAGTTGAGATGTAGTAGGAACAATAATTGGGCACTTTAACGAGCAAAAATTTTCAGGTAAACAGATAAATATAGCTTTTAGACCTAGACCCTGTAAAAAAATAAAGTTGTCAAGTTTTAGAGAGCGTACATTAGCACAAGAATGCAAGCACTAATCTGAGAAGCGAATTAATACAACACACGCAACTATTCAAAGTAAAGTGCATCACTGACTGAGAGGCAAAAAAAAACATCCGAAACCAACCAGGCGCACAACTAAAAAAAACACCTGACAATATCAGGCTGAACGACATTTGTGCTGTGGGGACAAAATTAAACAGGAACGATGACCTCCGCTATATCAGTTCAAACCTATGGAAAACAAGAATAAAGCTATCAACGCCAGTATTTAAATCGTTTAACTGCAGAAGCATGCCTGCTACAGTCTACTGCCAGGTAATTAAAGATAAAATGGCAGGGTTCTCAGCACAGCAAACTGGTTTCACTAACAACCATACCGGTGGCAAATGAATACATCTAAGGTCCTGTAAGAATTGCATGAATAAAGCATAGGAAACACAGGAATACTATTGCAAGTAACTGCATAAAATGAAATTAAAAAAGAACAACTCACATAAAACTACAAATCTCGCGCCAAAAGCCTTTAACCAACCAAAAACAAACCAAGAAAATCAAAACAAAGTTATTAAAAGCCACGACTAGTATTCGAATTATTAACATAACAAGCTATTAAAGTCTAAAAATACGCACATGCTATATAACAAATTTACTACTAATTCTAAGACTGCTTTGAATTGCGTGTGACTTTAAACACATATTTTACGCAATTATGATGGTTATTTTATCAAATAAGTTAGTTTCGTTACCTTCAGATAATATTCCCCTACATGCATACACAATAAACTAATATTTTAGAGTGTAAATACACATGATTTGGTCACAAGCAGTCAATAAATGGCTCGATTATTAAAAAAAACAACCAAAATTTGAATGCAGTATAAGATAAAAAGGAAGAAATTGGACCAGAAACGAATAGACGCAACTATTAACTTTGTTGCTTAATAAGGTTGCGTTTATTTTGTGTTCGTGTATTAATAGTAGTGCATGACTGATGCGGTCAGATAGAACAAGTAAAAAAAATGCCTGAAAAGTAATATGGATAAATTGGGAAGTTGTGGCGCATGCATAGAGATAAATAAGCAGGTGGTCACGCTAAAAACTGCAGGGGTGTGATTTGGAGCTTGCAGAGACAGGGGTTATAAATATGAACCAACATGATTTAGGGTTCCAATTTGGTGAACCAAGGCAAACAGCGGCTACTGAACATCTAAAGACAGATCTCGGGTTAAAATATATTACTGCCTAAGTTTTCGCTTTTGTTCTTTATAATAAAGTGTAACAGTAAGGTGAATTACCATGTCACTTATATTTTGCATGCAGATGATGTTCCTCCACCGACCATCATTGCTGAGTTCTGTCCCGTCCCGACTCAGCCCATTTGAAGGTAACACCCGACTTGTCATTCAGAGTTCTTGTGTTCGTTTTTTTCGTCACTTCTGTTTGGCTGTTGTAACACTAGATTCTTCCGATTTTTGCTATATTTGGGCTTATTCATTCAAGTAATAAGTAAGGTAGAAGTCTTAGCTTTACGTCTATAAGCTCTCAGCGTTATCACTACTCATAGAAACCTACTGCCTTTTTTATTTGTCGAGATACCTGTATGTAAGCTCTTAAATAAAACTCAAAATGGAATAATTTTTTTGTAGCGTTCAAGTGTTTGATTACTTTGACGGTACTTAAAGACATTCGCGATTGTGTGCCCTTACGTAGTATGGGTTCCCCAACAGCTAATTCAAGCAATTTGAATGGCATAGAACTGTCTTTTCTTTTAAAAAAAACAATTATTTTATTTGAATAGATTCAAAATTCAACACAGACCGCTTGCCACTTAATGTCTTAGGCCTGAATATTTCTATGTATTATCATTGGTTAGATCTAAATATCGTAGTGGCTCACATGGCTACGTAAAGTATCCTTGATTTTACATCGTCGAGTGCCTCTATGTTCTAGTGAAACCACGCACTCCTTGTAGAATGCTCTCTGAGAAGGCGCCGCAACATCATATCAAGCACAATCATCTCGTGGTTTTGGGCTTCTTTTCGGCTTTCATTGGTGTCTTTTTGTTTGCCAATGGTTTTCTATTAACTCGATCGGAACTGACGAACATCACAAATACCTCGAGCCTTCAACCTTCCGACTTTCAGCAAGTCATTCTCATCCTGGTGGACGGCCTCTACACCGGTCTTCTGCCTCTCACCAATGAAAGCGAAAAAATGCCCTTTTTCAAGAATCTTATCCATCAGCAGGGCTTTCCAAGGAACCATTTTCTTGCCCATTTTATTGCCGATCCCCCCACCACAACACTGCAAAGGCTCAAAGCCCTCCTTACCGGTAGCATGCCCACATTCATTGACGCTGGAAGCAATTTCGGTGGAACTGAACTGCAAGAAGATAATATCCTAAAGCAGTGGGCTCTAGCTGGGAAGAATATTTGCTTCGTCGGTGACCAGGTTTGGACGGAGTTGGTGTCTGACGTGTGAGTCTCTAGTAATTTATTAAAAAGGGTCATTTGAATGCATCCTTTTCTGGCTGGTCTTATCCTTATTTACCAAGCGATATGTACGAGTGCCGAGTGGTTTGTGCCAGCGCCATTTGGCGATTGCTTGGTTAATTTTGCAAATGTTGACTACCTCGGCTACTTGTGTTTTGCTTAAGGACTCGACTTCAACAGCGAGGCCTCGCGTCTACATTTGCCTTTGACGTTCGTGTGCATAGATGCTCGAACTTCCGAACACTTGAATTTTTCGAATTCCCAAGAGTGATGAGAACGCGGTTTCTTTGTAACCCAAAGCTTTGGTTTTGATCACGTGTGGATCGTCATCAATTGCCTTTGTTTTCACGCCAACTCGGGGATTATTTTGTCTCTTTTCCAGTAGACGCTGTCACTGTTGCCCCTAGAAACCACCACCTTACCTTCTCGTTCAAGTTCAAATAAGGTAAACAAGGCCACACCGTAACGCCATGTAATTCAGTCTCATCCGCTAGTCTAGTTGTGCTGGTCACTGTGTTATTTTCCCATACACAGAGCACTAATCTATCTGTGCCAGTGATATCCTTGCTTCAATAGCTGTTCTCCCCAACAGGGCTTTTTCCTATGCAATAGTGTACACACGAGAACAAACAGTCATCGTGAAGCGCATTACAATCGATAAATCTACCACTGATCAATCCTTTTCTCATTTCTACAAGACGACGGAAATGGGTTGGCCCTAACTGCTAGTTATGTAGTTGGTGCGAATGATGTGTGTGTGTGTGTGTGTGTGTCGTACGTGTATGTGGTTTTGCTTAGTGTCGATGTCTTTTCATTCTTTTTTTCTAGTTTTTTGGAGAGCTTTCCTTTACCCGCTTTCAATATTAAGGACCTCGACACAGTGGATACGGCGGTCAAGGATTATGTTCTTCGCGAGGTCGGCAGCGGCAAATGCGACGTTCTGATTGGTCACATGTTGGGCATTGACCACTGTGGACACACTTTTGGCCGATCACACCCCGAAATGGACCGCAAACTCCTTGAATTGGATGGCTTTTTAAAGTGAGTTGTGTCAACAGTGTGTGTGTGTGTATGTGTGTGTGTGTGTTTGTATGTGTGTGTGTGTGAGGAGCAGTCCAACGGCATCGTCAATCTAAAATTATTTGTACTGAAATAATATTAGTAGTGTGCGCATAATGAAAGATGATATGTAATCGACGCCAGTGTGCGCCTGCCTGTTGATCTAGATTGCTATCACATTGCATTTTCAGACGCCTCATTGCCCACCTGACGCCATCAAGCCTGCTTGTCGTCTTCGGGGATCACGGAATGACGGCGTCTGGCGACCACGGAGGCGACTCCGACGCGGAAGTCGATGCTGCGCTGTTCGTCTACACACCCCGTGGCTTTCCGCGTGTCCGCGACGCCAGCATCGACGATGGCTCGCCTCTTCCCAGCATCGAACAGGTGGATCTGGTACCGACTCTGGCCAGCCTAACGGGTGTTTCGATTCCCTTCTCAAATCTGGGCGTTGTCGCCACAACCCTGCTCAACTCTAGCCACCTCCTCAGTGCTGTGAATGCGAATTTTAGACAGGTTGGTGTGGGAGAATGCGTTTCTTGTGTTAACCACCAAAAGAAGCAAGGAGAGCAGATTGCGTAGAAACTTACAACTCCAAAACCAACCACCGAATCTCCTTTAGACGATGCTGAAGCGATCTTTAGTAGGCACCTCGTTCCGCGACCCTATTCCTTCGATAATTGCTGCTCTCAAATTTGACAGAAATTCGCAGTGACACTCCATGCAGCTGGACGTCTCCTGTATCACGGCTCTGGACACCACCATCACCACCACCATCATCATCACCACCACCACCACCACCATTTTGAAAATAATTTTAGGCTCGAAGAATGCTTCTGTTCAAATTAAGTCAAGTACTCACTTAATTTTGCCCCCTTCTCGTATAAGACTGGTCCTTTCGAATGTCGAAAGTCTGATCCCCACGTTCCCTCGATTTTGTGCCAGGTGGTCACCTACGCGAAGGAATATCACGACCGCTTCGGCACCATCTCCACCCCCGAGGCGATGGTGTCGCGACTGGCGCACAACTCCACCACGCCGTGTCCTGCCGCGTCCATCGACGAGTGCCTGCTAGCGATGCGCAGTCTCCGGGCGAGTTTCCGAACCCACTGGACCCGAATGGACGTGCCACGCATGGCCCTCGGGCTCCTCTTCACCCTCCACGCGCTCCTCGCTTTCGTGGCCTACGACAACAACCTCCCGGTGCCCGGGCCAGTCTGGTGTGTGGCCGCCACGCTAGCAGCAGCCTCCCTCGTCGCCCTCACTCCACTGGGGTCGTTTCTGCTGGCGCTCCTCCCCTCGTACCGATTGGCTGCCGTGTGGCTCTCAAGCAAAGACCTCTCTCCCAGCCGCGGAACTCTACTCACTGGAACACTGCTTGTAGTTCTGGCCTTGACTTCCTGCTCGAATAGCTTTGTTGTTCAGGAGGCGCGGGTGTTGGGATTTGTCCTCCAGACTCTACTGCTGGCCGCTTCTCTTTTCGCGGTGAGTCAAATCAAAGCCAGGGCTGCTTCTTGTTTCGCTTCTACCCGGTATGTTGATGCAAATCGTCGAGGCTAGTAACTGGAGCCCCTTGTTTGGCATGTCGGAGGTTTTCAAGAAGAAGGCAAGACTACAGCTTGTGCGGAGGGCTTCACTGTCTGGAGCAAAGGTTCAAGCACAAGATGGGACCAAATGAGAGGACGTCGAGTCGATGCTCAGATGCGATCGATGAGTTGGAAAATCAATACTTAGCGATGAGTTGACGGTGTGAACAAAGATGTTGCTGGACGCCAGAGTTGTAATCAAGTAGACAGCGTCCAGTGAGTGGACGTCACAAGTCTTGGGGAATGCAGACGTCTCCAACAGTGCGATGTGTTGGACTTGAATCATAAGCCACGGAAATTTGTTCCTACGACAATTGTTGTTATTAAGGTAAATGTGATACGCCGCAAGTTAGTTTAAACACAGACGCATTATTTCGTGATCAACGGTAAAATAACTGTGCGTTTAGCACTGCAGCTTCCACAGTGTCACATATTCGTTACCCAATAGTCTCGTATCACGCAAAACGTTAACAAAACTAGCTAAAACCTACATACAACGATTTGGTGACTGTGCCACGAAGAACGGACCTGGACGAATGCTGATATCCTGGTCATAATCAACTTCGAAGTCAAGCGAAAAAAACGCTCTCGGTCAGAAAAACCTCTGAACTTACGATCCAAGACATCTTTGCCATCGCGGTGGTTACTAGGCAGCTCCGAACACGGGGAACAACTTTGATGGAATGGCGAATGCTCCCTAGACAGAAGTTGAAACCTCTAGCCTGGCATGCCAAAGGCTTCCAAGAAGAAGGCAGGACTACAGCTTGTGGGGAGGGCTTCACTGTCTGGAGCAAAGGTTCGAGCACAAGAAGTCGAGTCGATGCTCAGACGCGTCTGGGCGGATGCGAGATCGATGAATTGAATAATCGACACTGAGCGATGAGTTGATGGTGTGAACAGGGCTGAGTGAATTGACGTCCGCAACAGAGGTGTTCACGAGGGGATAGAGTGTTGTCAAGTGTTTCCAAACAGACGACGGAGCAACTTCGGGAGAGTCTGATGGGTGTGGTGGGACTCCCAGACCAGCAACCTCGTTAGACATGCATGACGTACACAACAGCAACAACAACACACAACCACGTTTTCCCACCTGACTTAATTTGAGCTTAAAATTATATTTAAAAATTGAAATACTTTTGCAGTCCTTTGTGGTTTTGTTTGGATCGGCGCCAATGGTTTAAGAACACCGAACGACGAGTCTACATGATTTACCTCACATCTCACTACGGTGGCAGAGCTTGTAAGTTGGGCCCCTTTCGCTGATCGCAGGAGCTGCTCTGCGCGCGGAAACGCGACGGGTAGTGGTAGTAGTGCTTGGAACGCCCGGC